TCCTTGATTTGGCTCGCTTTGGCTGCACAAATATCTCTAAACATCTCTGCTGGCATGATGGAGGGTGCAGCAACAAGACGGGAATGAGAAGTAGAAGCATCTGGTGGTACAGCACGCTGTCAGCTCCTGATTTGGGGGCTGTATCTGCACGTCAACCACTCTTACAGTATGTGCTTATTAATTACTCTACTTGAGTTGGCTTTCTCTTCCCTTTCTGCTGCTTTGCTGAGGGCTTTCCCTTGGCACGGGCCCTTAGTGCAGAGGATTTCCAAACCAGGCCTCACACAAGTTGCTGCGGCTTGCAGGCCGTGTGCTGCCTCGGCACCCGACCCCCAGCCCTTCCTTGGGCTTCCTTAGGGCCCAACTAATCGGCTCAAGACTACCCAGAAGATCCCTCTGCTCCTTTTGTGTCTCTAGGGAAAATGTCAAGGAGCTTGAGTGCAGGCCTAGGGGTTTGTGTGCCGAGTGCTGCACCCGCGGAGCTGAGGAGAGCTCTCGGGCTGCCAAAGAGGAGTTGCCATTAGCGAGGAGAGCGCTGTCGGGCTTGAGCAGGTCACCTGTAAGAAATGTCTGTCTGAAGCCTGCCTGGCTGCCATCTCAGGCTTCATTCACTGCTCCAGCAGGCAGAGAAAGTGCAACAGGGCTTTGAAATGCAGGCATATTTTAGAGGGAACCGATGTCATCCTGTGGCACTCAGTACTGGAGGGGTGCAAGGGGGCAGGCGCTCCGAGCAGAGGGGAATTTTACCAATAACTCTAGCTCTTAGATATGGGGTGTCCGTAAGCATGCTTACAGTGTGTCTTCCTTCCTTCCCTGAGAGGCTTCGTACCTCTCGGGCTTGGTTGTTGAATAGGAAAACCTGGCACAAAAGGTAGAAGGGAGCAGAGGGTGACTACAGTTGGTCCTCTGACGTAAGGGCCAGTGGCTTCTGGTGTTAAACCACGGTGTAATCTGCATCCAGGGTCTGTCTCATGAGAAGTGAGGGCTGTGGGATGGCTGCTGCACCGGGTCATCCAGACAGTGCAGTTGCTTGAAGAGCTGCTCACCTGCCAGAGACTGCTGCTGGCGAGGAGCAGAGTGGGAATCTGCTCTGTCACTTCACTTCTGCCTCGGAAGTGCACTTCATGCACTGCACCCATGTCCTTTGTGTTCCCCAAACTCTCAACCTTCCTCAGCTTTTACGCAGACGTCTGCTGTTGCCTTTCGGTATTAATTGGCCAGATTCCTGCGGTTTTGCTAAGTTAGAACTGATGTTTTGCCAGCTGGTGCAAGGTTTCTGGAAAGTGGGTACATTTTCCCCAGGGTCTGGGGCTGGAAATTGCTAAATTCATTCTACTTAGTGCTTCAGTAGAATGTAGTCTTACCTATTTTTAAACAAAAGGCTTCAGTGAAATAAAAGCGAGGACGTGCACGGTGCAGCAAATGAAACCTCCAGTTGCATAAACAGATCAATAAACTGATTTGTGTTTGCTGACCAGAAGAAAAATCTAATTGCAAGTACTCCATATTCAACATTTGTGGCGAAACTAGAATAATTGGAATAATGAGAAATCCAATTTGCTTCTGCTTGGACTTTATTCTTCTTTAGGCTTCATTTAACTGGACTGGTGCAATGCAAAGGCTGGTTATTGCATTCGCAGCGTCTGGGTCTTGAGTCAGGCTGATAAGCTCTTTATGGAGTGCTTCAAATTCTAAATTACCAAGTTTGCCATCTTTTAATGTGACTTGAAATGATTGGAGTATCGTTCCCGGGGGCTAGAGGCTCGTTTCCCTGACCAGAATCTCCTGCTCTGTGTTGGGCAGCCACTGGATTGCTGACAGCTGAATGCATCTGAGCAGCAAAATAACTCTCAGGCTGCTGCAGCTTCCAGATCTGTGCAGTTGCTAACATCTACAGCAGGAAATAACGCTTTCCTGGATGTTCTGAAGATATGTTTTGGAGAAAAGTATCTTTGTGTGTCAGTCCTCAAGTATTTTTTCACTTGAGTGCATCTCTTAAATCTTTATGTGCTTAAGTAAAAGATGGAGATGCTGAAATGATTGTATCTCTATGGCATAAACGATATTCAGAAAGGTAAAAGATTTTAGGTAGATGTGAAGAAATTCCCCAGGAAAAACAATAAGGCTGGAGTCATGCGAATCCTGAATTTGTTTTCTCCATTTGAGTGGGACAAAAAAGCTGTTTCAAGATATCTAATTGCTGCTAACAGTAATGAAAGATGGTACTAAAGAATGGAAAAAAAAAAAAGTGGAGGTAAAAATCACCATTGCAAACAAAGTAGAACCATCAACAGCATTTAATACCACTTTAGGTTTAAGTGGGTAAAGTGTCTAGATGTGTTAGCTTAGATCACTTTTTAGCATGCTGCGTTGTTTGGAGAATGGAAAACCAGCCCAGAGGAGAACAGAGCTGTGGGAGCTGCATCTGCTGGGAAGAAGAAAAGCGAGAAGTGATGGGAGGTCAGTGGGTCGCACGCACGTAATGATAAATCTCTGATTTTAACTGTAGGAATAACTCATAGCTTAAGTGAGTTTAAAAATGCAGAAAACGGTTCTTAAAATGGTTTTTGAAGGCAAACCTGGGAAAAGTGGAGGCAAAACCTCTTCCTGCTGGGTTTCAAGGAACTCCACCGGTCCATGGCAGAAGGAACCCAAGCAGGCTGGGAGGTTCCTCGGGTCTGCAGTGGAGATCTGGAGTTCGGAAGGCAGGTGGTATGTTGTATGTTGACTCTGACTCACCAGTTTACATCCAGCACAACCCTGGATCACCTTTAAAGATTTTTTTGTAAAGATTTACAATGCAAGATAACCCGTGAGTTGATTCCCTTGGCTGTTTATTTAGCAGAGGAAGCTTCTAATCCAAAAGTCTGGCAGGAGAGGTATGGGCTTGCTGCGTGGTTTATGCCTCCGCACGTCAGAGGCAGGTTTGGCTTTTTGGTTCTATTGTTAGCAGCAGAATGAAGGCTGTGCTCTTTAAAACGTATGTGGATCTGTAAAGCAGCCTGGTATGTTCGGTTGCAACTCTTATTGTTGGTGCTGTTTTCTCCATTTGAAAGTTTTTTTGCTGTTTTATATATTCTCTTTACAATCTAACCCTTTAGTCTCTGATCAAAGATTGTCCACATTCTATTAATCAAGTGCCTGCTTTTACTTAGCTGATGAAATGCATCTTGACAATAAACGGTAAGAAAAAAGTTATTCAATGGCAGGCCATGACAAACTAATTATATTTGAAAACAGCAGACAGAAAAGCTAGAATTTTAAGGCATTTTGTTAACTTACTTCATTCTTGAAACGTAGATGGGAGTGCATTTTGTATGTGGCTTCAAAACACAAAAGTGGTGCCTAATCCATGAGAGAGTGCTGTGCTTCCTTCCAGAACACGATGGCTCTAATGATTAGAAGTATTTTCAATTTCTATCCTGAGGATGCTCAAGAACACTTAAAGTTTTTTGTTCGTGCACCAGTATTTCCTTTCCATCAAGTAGTTCCTATCATTTTCTCCCTCTTCTCTTGTAGAGTTAGAGACAGTGATCGTATATCCCCTTTGACCACTTTAGGCAAGGTAAGTAAGCCAGACTGCTTCAGGCTCTTGTCAAACAGACTTTCTGTGCCCTGATGGTCCGAGCAGCCTGCTCGTAGCAAGAGTTTGAGCTCGTCTTTGCTGATGGGACAGGGCTGGCTGCAGGTAGGCGGCAGCACTGTGGCTCTGAGTCCTGCCTTTCGGCCTCAAAGCCTCCCGTGGATTTGGCTCTCTTGCCGCTGGCTTCTAGCTTTTTTGAAAGAGAAAATTGCTTTTGGTAAATTGCAAACCTCAAAAAAATGAGGACATACCTTTCTGCTTTTTGTGAACCTTTTGTAGAAGAAAAAGGCATTATATCTGACTTCGCAGATGGTGGACCCTGAATTTTAAAATAGCCACGTTCTTTTCTTCCTCATCAAAAGAGTAACGAAAGACACGGCATAGCAGCCTGCTTTGGTCACCTCTGTGCTGTTCTCAGTTACACGTGTGTGGCTGTGGATGACGTTAATGTGATGTGTCCTGAGCTTTGGTGCATGAACTGCATGGTGTTTTAATGCCGCTCAGACTCTGGTCTCTGTGCACGTATCGGTGGTTGCAGGAAGGGTGAGAGCCACGCAGCAGCAAGCGATTGCAGAAACCTGTTGTTTCCTGGGTCCCTTGGATGCTTGTATTTTATGCTAGCCAGGCTGCCCACCTCCACCCGCTGCTTTGGTGGGTTTTGCCGTGGTTTTCTTCCCCTCTTTGTCCACAGCTCATCCTCAAGGAAACATTCTCCTCTCTCACATTGATGCCGATGCAGTCTTCTGTCAGAAACGAAACTGTTCCAGCATGCATAGCTGTGTGCTTAGGTTTTAATCAATTATTTTCTGGCTTGGTTTTGTTTCTTTAAAACTGGTGTTTTGTCAAAAGAAATTCCCTCGTGTTTTGTTGGCGTGCATTCCTAAGGATTCCTTACATCTACCTACACCCGTTGGATTCACAACTTGGTACTTGCGACTTGAGCGTGCTCTGTTACGAGATGTTGAAGGCTGGGAAAAGGGAGGGATCTAGATGGTTTGGGGAGGGAATTGGTTCGGAAAAACAGAGGAATAAAAGGGATGAAAAGGGCTGGTTGCTTACAAGCAGGTGGCAGGTTGGTGTGCTGGTCTGTCCGTGCCCCATGCTGATCCGAGTGGCTGTGTGTGTGTCCACGTGCTCATCTAGCTGGGCTCAGTGCTTGGCCCTGGGGCATGGAGCTGAAGCAGCTTCATCCCTGTTGAGCTGCTGGATTCCCTCTCCCCTCGCAGGCTCTTGAAGTGATTGTCTTCTTCTCCTTGGCTAGATACTGTTGGTTGCGACTTGGAAGATTAGAGGATGAAAGAGCAAGGGGAAGAAGCAGAATGCCCTGAAGCGCCTTTTGGGGCTGGGAGGGATGAATGAATGACTCAGCAGAGCTGTGCCAGGATGTTTTATGCTAATTCCCTCTTTTGTGTTTCAGCCCTGGCCCAGCGTGTCCAACCTGGCCAAGGATTTCATCGATCGCCTGCTGACGGTGGACCCCAGCGACAGGATGACCGCCCTCCAGGCCCTGAAGCACCCCTGGGTGGTCAGCATGGCAGCCTCCTCCTCCATGAAGAACCTGCACCGCTCCATCTCCCAAAACCTTCTCAAGAGGGCATCGTCCCGCTGCCAGAGCACCAAATCCGCCCAGTCCACGCGCTCCAGCCGCTCCACCAAGTCCAACAAGTCGCGGCGGGTTCGGGAACGGGAGCTGCGAGAGCTCAACCTGCGCTACCAGCAGCAATACACCGGCTGAGCACCGAGCTGGGACCTGCCAGAAAGTCTTTCCAGAAGTCTTCCCTGCAGTGTAGGCGTGTGGCACCCTTTGCTGCACGCGCACTTGGGGAGGAACGTCCAGGTTCCTCCCTCCCCTCCTTCAGGTGTCCCCCCGCGCGGAGGAAAAGGAACCTTGTGGTGGCCATCGCGCCCTGCTGGGCGAGCAGTGCCACGGGGTCTCATGCAGGAAACGGAGCAGCTCTTGTGGGCTTGGAGCTCAGAGCCTCGAGGAACAGACAAATTAAGGAGCTGCAAAGGAGGAGAAGAGCTCTTTCTGTAGCCCAGGAGCTTGGTTGTTCATAGTTATTTATTGATGCCGGAGCGTTCAGTTTCTCTCACTTGCATATGAAAGAAAAAAAAAATCACTTTAAGTGCACACCTGTGTGCACATACACGTGTATATATTTAAAATGTTATATACACACTTATTCTGAGCTGGTTTAGTCAGACTGTGGTGCCTTTTCACTCAAGCTGCCATGAGTCACACGCGGCTAGCACCAGGCTGGCTCTGACTCACAGCGTGCTGCCCACCAGCTCCCCGTCCCGACGCAGTGCCGAGGAGATGCCAGACGGCTTTCCGTGACGGTGCTGGAGCTGGGAGGCTTCCCCAAGGGGCTGTCGGCGGCGTGGTGACACGGAGGGTTTGCTCACACCACGCGGAGCTGCTGTGCAAACCGGCACCAGGCTGGGGTGCTGCAACCTCGGGGCTGCAAGCCAGCTCCGGTTATCCTGAGGGCAGGGAGAGGAGGATCGTCCTGCAGGAACTTCGTGCTCCAAAGAGATGTCCTTGGCGAGGCAGCTTTTGGGGGGGCTCCTCGCTGTCTGCCTCGAATCATCCTCCAGCAGTTCTGTTGGGGCACGGGGCTTCTTAGGTAGGGGAGGCGAAAGGACTCTGCGCTGCTGGGGCAGATGTTTTGGGTGTTTTTGGGTGTCCTTGGAGAGACAAACACAAGAGGAAGTGCAGTGGTAGTGGTGGGGGTTTCCCTGCTTTCAGCAGGACTGGTGCCCACTTTGTGAGGTTTGTTCTTGTTGCTGTGACTTGGCCCTCTCACTGTTACCAACCCCATCACTTCAGCACACCAAAACTGTGGTTTCCTGTCCCCAGATGTTGCCATCACTTCACTGGGACAGCGAAATGGTGTTAGGAGCTGGCGAGGTGGCCACAAATGGCTCTGTAGGATCAGGGTAGGGGCTTGACTAGGAAAAACCCAGTCCTGGAGTGCCAGCAGCAAGAGACATCGCAGAGAAGCCGTGGAGCCGTTAGGTGTGACCTAAATCCACCAGGGAAAAGCTGCCCTTTGGCGTTTCCTCTGCTGGGTGGGCGATGGGGGCACCTTGTGAAGGACCTCTCAGGGGAAGGTGGGTGCTGTAGGGCTGAGCTTCGGGCAATCCTGCTGAGATGTTTTCCCTCCTAGTCAGTGCAAGGCACGTTTGGGGTAGGTTTGGCCTCTTGCCATAGCAGAGGCCAGGTGTGAGCGAAGGCAAATGTTGTTTTTTGGAGCTTTTCTTACAAAGCCCTGCAGTTTTACTGTGCATCTAGTAGGTGCTTAGCAGGTTGATTCAGTCTGTCCACGCTCTGGAGCGTGGTTTTCCCTCTCGCACTGACATCTGTGCCACCGTGTTGTAGTGCCAGCAGGGCTGTGAAAGTTCCAGCACATCCGCGAGGAGCTCTGACCCTGCAAGCAGCAAAGCAGCACGGCTTCAGCAGGGAAAAAAAGGGGATTTAGGGGTGTGCTTTCCACCCCAAAGTTAGGAGGGGCCAAAACCACTCTGAACACAGCTTGCTGTGCCTAAGCTTGTGATGAGAAATGTGATGGAGGAAACCCAAGGACAGCGGGGTCGTGCATGCACTTGCAGCAGGGGTGAATCCTAAATCCTTTGCGTGGGTTTGCAGAATTACTGGTTGGTTTTCTTCAGTTCTGTGACGTACGGTTTCTTCAGATCCTTCTACCTTTTATTGTGTTTTTTTCCTGTTTCAACACAAGGAGCTCTAAATCAGACACGATTTCTGACAACACAGGCAGCTCGCCACGTTCTGCTTCGTTAACAGTTCAGTGCCCCTCAGGTTACTGCCAGCAGCTCTTCAAAAGCAGTGAGGACTCTAAGGCGGGTAGTAACTGGAAATTGTTCGTACCCTGTGGGTTAAGAGATGGCCAGATGCTCCCTGAGGGTTTCTGGTTTTGAGCCATTACCTGTAAGAGTCTTCTGCATGCTTTGAGCATCACACACGATCTCTGTGATCTTTGTCCTCTTAGGTGTTTTCGTGGCCCTCCCCAGATCATCTCGGTGTGTTTCTCCTTAAAATAGGTACTGTGCCTATGCCAGGAAGTCAAACTGATGGACTGAGCCAAGCCCTGCAGCCTGAGACCCTTTCCTGTAACCACTAGACCATGGAAATGCCCAGATGGGTGGGTTTGGAGGTCAGGATGTCGAGCTCTGATCTGACCAAGCTTGCTTCTCCTCCTTCACAAAGCAGAACACGAATCTTCCCTTCTCTGGCAGCTTTTGCTTTATTTCTCTGTTCAGCAACCGATCTCTCACCAGGAAGAGTTGGGAGTGATGTCAGGCTACGTGCTGTAATTCTGAGCACTCGGTTCAGGTGCCTTCAGCCTGTCCTCTGAGAAGCTCTTCACTGTGAATTTTCTCGATCGTATGCCTTCATATATATTCCACAGGGGTGTCTCAGCTCTTGGTTTATCTCACATCTCAGGAGTTTACGCTTTTCAGAAGTGCCTTGCTTGAGGATGTTAGAAGTTAAATCTGGCATTCTGTTTTTCTGCTCTTATGTGTTTTTTTTTTTTTTTTTTTTGTTTCCTTCTTTAGCTCTTAATGGTGGTTCTTAGTTTGGCTCGTGGTGTTTCGAATTAGCCAGGAGAATGCAGGTAACAAATACGTGTCCCGGGCTATTGCTGAGTTTCAGTGGAAGAGCCGTTGGCTGGGTGCAGGTCTCAGCAGAGAGCACTTAGGTTTCCTGTACTCTGCTCGCAGAATGAAACGAAGCTGGAATGACACCTAGTGGCAAACTGCAGCCTGTCTGTGTCCAGATGCAGTCTCTTCCAATTGCATCCCTGTTTTGGGGAGAGATGCTGGGTTTTGGGGCTCTGATCACGCCTGCAGCCCGAGGCGTGGTGCTGCTCCCACACCCGTGCTGCAGCACAGCCTCGTAGCTGTTGATGGGGCTAGAAGCAGTGGGTTTGGGACTTTTTTGGGTCACAAGACACGATGAGAAGCTCAGGGTGTTGCGTCCCAGCTTATTTTTTCAGGGAAAAAGCAGTTTTAAGGAGCAAAGGGGTTTCTGCGTGTTTGTCTTTTGGAACTTAGCACTGCTGTGTAAAGGAGTCCCATGGCTGTGTCCTGGGGGTTTGCCTGCTCTCCTGGGGGCAACAGTCAGAGCTTCAAAGAGTGCTGCCTGGTGGTTCCTCAGTGACCTGGTGGTTCCTCGATACTTTGAAGGGCTGTTGGAAATGAATGGGAAAAGGTCTTCCAGAAACAACGTTAGGTCGTCTACAGACTGTTAAGCTTTACATCCAGATTTGAGCACATAATGTATTTTTCGACCTGTTTTGCTAAAAAGCAATGAACTTGTCCAGCTGTGATTTACTTCTCACCCCTCTCAGGCTTCTAACAACTCGCACACGAGCCTGGTGGCAGTAGAAACCCTCCCTCCTTCGACCCAGCAGCAGTCTGTGCCATTTAACATTGGGATTGCAGTAGCGTCCAGATGCTTCTGCCAGTTCCTGTTCTTGGAAATGTACAAAAGTCACCTTACAGCCTCGTGGTGGGTGTAGGGCTCTGACCTGCTGGCCCGTGCAGTGGTGTGGAGGCTGCAGTGCAGGGCCTGCCTTACACACTTGTTCTGGGAACGAGAAACCTCAGACTCTTCACTTCGTTGGCATTTGGATATTTTCTTCCTTTCGTTCATGTTCTGCTCTGGTAACTCACATTTTCTCCCACCCTGCTCTATTTCTCAGTCCTGCTTTCTGGCAGAACCACGGCGTCTGCCTGAGAGGTCGATCACACTCAGCTCACGGACACCAGTCGTGGTCAGCCCCACTGCGGGGCCGTGGCTCTGGATTTGGCTCTGCAGCAGCCACGGTGAGCCCTGAAGCGATGTGACAGCAGACACACGGTGCCTTGGGGGGGGGAGAACTCCCTGTGAGGACCCTGCTGCCCAGGGTGGGCGCTGCCCTTCACCTCGGGTGAGATTATTCCAGTTGTTCTCCAGGCTGCTTGCTGCAACCTGCTGCAGGCTCACGGTGGGCATCGAGGTGCCGTTCTTTGGGGTGCCCCCTTCCCTCTGCCCACTGCTTCTTGGAGCTCTCTGCAGTGGCTCTCAGTGCCTGCTCTCATCCCTCGCTCTTCCAAAAGTGCACCCTGTACCCAGCCCTGGGTCCCTGCACCACTCTCAGGAGGTTTTTGGTGCTTTTTCTGACCGCTCGGTCTCGTCTTCCAGCCTGGATCAGCAACGCAGCTCTCAGGTGCTCTAGAGGCAGGTGTGTGCGTGTCAGGTGTGCGTTACTGAGCGCTGAATTTGCCAAAAAAACATAAAATGTGAAGCAGCAGGGATGCCCCGTGGTAGCGGCATCACGGAGCGCGGAGCCTTCCACCCTCGGCACCTCTTCGGTGGAGGGAGCTGCTGCCTGCCCAGCGACGTGGTTTTCTCCTCCTGCTGTCCTACTGTAGGTCCCTCGTGTGTGACAGACGAGCTCCTCGCTGCTGTCACGACGACCTTGCACTGTGTTTCTGTTGAATGTGGAACAAACCCTGGCCCAAACTAGAAATGAGCACCTACCGCGAGCGCACGCCGATGCTGGGAGTTTTCCTGTTGCCTCTCGCTACGGAAAGACACCTCCCAGGAAGCCCTCTGGCCCAGGGGGGGGGCCTTCCGCTGCTTGCTGTTATTTTTGGGTTGCCGAATTTCCTGTGCTGGCTTGGAACCGCTGGGAAGCACGGCGCTCATGTCCTGCCCGTCCCCGGCGGGGCCGTGTGCCTGGAGGAGCCTCCGAGTCCTGCCCCCGCGGAGAGCGAGGCCTGAACCATTGTAATTAGTCTGTAACGTGATGAGTAGAGTGTACAGAATTATTTATTTTGTGTACTCTGTTAAACACGTAAATGTATTCTGTGTACCCCATCGCTCCCTTGTCCTTAATTTTGGCACACGCACGGTCCGGCGGCCGGAGGACGCTGCGCTCCGGGTGGGAACGGTGGCCAGCCAAGGCACCGAAGGCTGGGAGCTGCTCACCCCTCGGCAGGAAGGCACCAGCGTGCCCCAAAAACCTTCCCTGGCATCCTCCGTGTGGCTGCCAGGAGCTGTGTGAGGGAGCCCTTGCCCGGGGCTGGGACGGCCGTGGGATGCCCCAGGTGAGCCGGGCGCTCAGCCTCACCACAGGAGTTGCAGTTTGGTCACTGGATGGGGACTTTTGGGTGTTCTTGGGTGCTTTGCTCACTTTTCTGGGGCTACAGGGTGGCAGGCAGGGCCAGAGAAGTGCTCTGGCTTGCTCACAGCGACTGTTCACCTCTCCACTTTCACTCTTTTAATGACCTGTAGGAAAAGGTGTAATAAGGAGAGAGAAGCCCGTGCTGCTTCTGAACTGCATCCTGCTGCAGGGCACCCCCCTGCCTTGGCACCTGCCCTGCTGCCCTTGTCTGGCACCTGCTTGTGTGAAAACACCCCTTTCTTCTGAAAATCCATTGCCTGGCCTTATTATTTTTTTTTTTCCAATTTCCCTTTGGGATGGCACTGGGTTCGCCGCTGCGTTACCCCGGAGCCTGCAGGGCTGCCCCCTTGCACCTTGCTGGAGAGGTGGAGCTGCCCGTGACACGTCTCCCTCTCAGCTCGTGTGTTCCCAGGCTGCTACACATGTAAAGTCCAGGCAAAGATCTTTTATAAGCTCCTGCACCCCTCTCCCTGCTCTTGTTGCAAGCCTCGAAGCCCTTTCTGGTGCTGAGCTGTGGAGCTGCTGCCTTACGGAGACCCTGAGCTGCAGCCAGCCCTGTGCCCAGTGCCTGGGTTGAGCCGTGGATGCCTCCAGGCTCGGCAGATCCCAGCCGGGCACCGAGCTCTGGATTTAGGGAGAGGAGCCATGTTCTGCCCCCGTGCTCCTGGAGAGGAAAGGAGCCAAAGACAGTACGTGGAGCAAGCAAAGGGTGGCACTTTATTGCTCTACAGCGCGGGGAGCCTGGCGTGGTGCTCAGCCCCTCGCTGGCAGGGCTGGAGGTGCCGGGGGGGCTGTGCCCAGCTCTCCTTGCTGGAGCACGGAGCCTGGCACGGGGATCCCTGCGTTCCCAGCTCTACCCCTGGGCGACGATGTAATCGATCCAGTTTCGGAACTGGCTGACGCGGGTGTAGACGGCGGGCGTGCGGATGTTGCAGTTGCTGCTCCCCCAGGAGACGATGCCGATCAGGGTCCAGACGTTGCCGTTCTGGTACACGAGCGGGCCCCCGGAGTCACCCTGCGGAGAGAAAAAGCCCCCACCTCGCTGCGCCCCCATCCTGCTGCTGCCAAGGTCCCGGGACCTCGCTCCGAACCCGTCCCAGCCACCCCGGATGCTCGATCTCAGGCTCCCCAGGTACCACAGCCCCCAAATCCTCACGGATCCAGCTCCTCACCTGGCAGGAGGAGGCGCCGACCCCCCCGGCGCACAGCATGGAGCTGGTGATGCTGCTGCCCCAGTACTGCATGCACTGGCTCTGGGAGACCAGGGGCAGGGTCACCTGCTGCAGGCGCACCGCCAAGGCGTTGGCTGGGGGGAAAAAAAAGCAGCGTTAGCTTGTGCTGGGCTCCGGGAGCACACAAAAATCGCTGTGTAAGGGCACAGACACCCCGGGGAAGCTCCCTCTGCCAGGCCTAAGGTGTGGGTGCCCAAAATGCGCGTTGCTGCTCCCTGCAGCCGTACCCCTGGCACACTCATCTCCAGGTAGGTGCAAGCAGCCCACAGCAAAGGCGAGCTCGTACCCTTGGGTACCCCGCATCCACCGGGTCCTCCACCGGGTCCTTTGGGGGCTGTGGATGCCGTCTTTCCCCTGCTACAAGAGGCAGCTCAGCTTGCCGGGAGCCCCCCCGAAGCCCTGGGGTACCTACAGTTGGTGTTGGTGCGTCCCCAGCCGGTGGTGACGCACTGCAGGTCGCTGGGCAGGGCCAGGTTGGCTGGGGCCAGGCAGACGGGGGCCACGCGAGGCCCCAGCTGGGCAGGCGAGGAGAGCTTCAGCAGGGTGATGTCGTTATTGAGGTTGTAGGAGTCCCAGTTGGGGTGCGTGACGGCCTGCCAAGAGCCAAAATATCTCGTCCCAGCCCTCCCAGAGCCACTGCACCGTGGCACAGAGCCGTGGCCCCCTCCGCGCCGCATCCACCCGACTCACCTTCGTCACGGTCTTCACCTGCACGGCCTCCGACCCGGAGTAGCGGTCATACTCCCCGAGGACGACAACGTGGGAGTAGGGGCTGCAAGAGGTGTGTGGTGGGGTCAGGGAGCCCCGTGGCAGCCAGCACCTGGCCCCAGGGCTCTGCAGCCCTGGGGATTGCAGGGGTGCCAAGGGGGCAGCTGGGGAGGGGGCTTTGGGGCTGCCCCGCGCATCCTGGGGCTGTGCCCGTCCCTCAGCTGTTCCCTGGCATGGGGTTGGGGCTGGTGGTGCCGGAGGGCATCGTTCCTCACTTGAATTCGCAGTGGGCAGCCGTGACCACCCAGTACTCGTTGATCAGGGAGCCGCCGCAGAAGTGGGATCCCGTACGGGTCTGGGGAGGGAAACGGGGAGCAGAGCTGGGGCTGTGCCCAAGCCTGGGGACAGGCAGTGAGGTGCGGGTCCCCTCGGGTGCCTGCCCACGTCCTGACCCACGGGATGGGGACGAACCTGCAGGGACACCTGCCAGGGCCAGGAGCCGGACACCGCATTCTGCCCGTTGATGATCCTCTCGTTGTACTGCACCGAGGGGCTGATCGAGGGCACCCCGCAGCCTGCGGAGGAGGCTCAGGGGCACGAGGGTGGCCGGGCACAGCACCCCGCTCGGGGTTTGTGCCCAGGGGGTGCACCCCTGCTCTGTGCTACTGTCCCCCAGGACCTGCTGGCACCTCGGGTGCTGTGCCCGGGGGAGCAGAGGGTGGCACGGTGCCACCCCGCTGGGTGCGTGGCTGCGCTTACCTGAGACGGCGCTGGCGAGGGCCAGGCAGGCAACTGCCCAGAGAAACGCCATCCTGGGAGGACACGGCCGTGTCTCAGGGCCCACGGGCTTTATAGCAGCTGGGAGCTGCGTGGCTCGTGGCCAGGCAGGGCAAGGTCCCCGTCGTGCCTCGTCCCAGCTGCGGGCAGCGGTGCTGTGCCAGGCCTGTGCGTGCCGTGCCCAAGTGGCCCTGGGGTCGACGGCTGCAGAAAAGCAGCAGGGCCACTGCTGGGATGAGCTGTGTGGTTTCTCGCTGATGCTACAGAGAGGGAGGGTCCTGTAGGGCCGTGATGGGGGCACGTTTACCGCTCGGGCTATTTGCTGGCACACAGATGGGGCTGAGATGGGTGCCGGTGCCTGGGCTGTGGGAGATGGCCGCGTCCCCAGGCCTGTTGCAGATCTGCTTGGCACCAGGGCTGTTCCTCTGCGTGGCTGTGACACGTCCCTGGAAGGCGCACGTCCCAGCTGGACGTTCCCAGGCCCCAAGGCCACCCCTAGAGGTGTGTCCCTGTACAGGTGAGTGCATCCCAGAGCCAGCTGGGGGGAGCAGAAGCCTTCCCAGGCAGCCAGGAGCTGTGGAGAGCGCACGGTGAGCCCCTGGGAGGGTGGCAAGGCTGAACCCACAACCCCTGTGCCACCCCCCAGCAGCTGCCCAGCCCCTCTGACCCCAAACTCAAGGGGACTTCTGCCCCCCGAGCCTCCCCTGTTACCATCCTGGGTGCAAAAAGGATGCAGCATCTGCATTGTCACCCACCTCCCCGGGTAATGCCTGCCTGAGCTCCCAGCAGCTACCCCTGGGGCGATGCTGAGCACAGGGACAGTCTCTGCTCTGTGCCACCCCCGTGCCCCTGTCCCCTGGCGCACAGTCAGGACGCTGGCAAGTGCGTGCAGAGCTCAAATCTTTATTTCTGTATCTGTGCCGTGCGTGGGCAGCAGGATCGGGCCCGCCACGAGGCAGCAAGTGCAGCGGGGTGTGGAGGTCACCTCTCCTGCCACCCACTGAGCGTGGGGCTGCACACACACGAGACCCCTCCTCTATTGCCAGTGAGCCAGGATGAGCTGGCTGAGATGCTGCCCCCCATCCAGTGCGTGGCCCAGGCTGGCGGATAGGAGAGGAAGCCCCTACATGGCCAAAACCCTCTGGCAAGTCTGCGATTTGTCTCCGAGCTGGGGTGATCAAAGAATCCATGCCCAGGCTGCTCTGGCTGTCTGGATCCTCAGGGAAGCGCAGATTTCTCTGCAGCCCCATGGAGAGTTGGCCTCACCCCAGCTGCAGCCTCCTGTCCTTTGCTCTGCTGCTCTTCTTTCCCCTACAGGCAATGGGGCTAAACCTGAGCAGGTCCCGATTGCTGCCTCCGCAGGCTGTGGGTTGGTTTTTCTCCTGACCCACCTCTCCTGGGTCTGCTTAGAGGGGCAGCAGTTGGCTCAGCAAAGCAAGCCCAGAGAAGGATGCTACGTATCCACCCTGTCCCCAACACGGGGCAAGGTGCAGCGCAAGGGGGATGATGCCACGTGGCATCTCCTTTCTCCCCACACAGCCTCGGAGCTGTCCCGCGGGGTCCAGGGGGGCAGCGGGGCCGTGGCAGGCAGCGGGGCTGTGTCAGGCACACTTGCCCTTGCGGAGGCAGAAGGGCAGCTCGGGTGCGGGGACCAGGATGGTGCTGAAGATGGGCTGGTAGCTCTCGGGCAGGGCCTGGGGGTGCTGCGCCATCATTTCCAGCACCAGGTGTCGCACCTCCTTGGAGACGTCGCCCCGGAGATCCAGCAAGGTGGAGATGTGCTCGTCGCTGGGCAGAGAGCAGGAGGTGAGCCGGGGTGCATCCCCCAAACCTCCCATGATCCAGAGAAGCCGAGCTGAGGCTGGGGAGAGCTGGCACTTCAAGCCAGCCAAATCTTTAAATAGGCTTGAAAATAATCCCACAAACCTTGTAATTTTGGGGTTTGGCATTTCTGCATTTTTTTTTTTTCCAATTCTGCCATTTCCAATTTGGTTTTGTGGTTGCCCACCCTTTTGGCAACTAATTATGGGCAGGTGAATGCCACAGCAGAGCTGCTCTTCCCTTTATGTCTTTGCCCTTGGAAATTTGCAGGAATCCCTCAAATCTGGGGCATGGGAAAAGGAAACTTTCTGCGTGCTCTGCAGCCCAAACCTGGCTCCCCAGTGCAGTCCTGCCCTACCCTGCCTCATGGGAGAGCAGAGCTGGGCTCCCTACCTGACGTCGGGGTACTTGGTGACGAAGCCCAGCACCTCCAGGCTGAGCAGAGCCGTGTCCTTGAGGCAGAGCAGCTCCCGCACAGCAAACACAGGCCTCGAGGTTCTGCTGGCTCCTGTCCAGGCCCTGAGAGGGAGAGCAGGATGGAGATGAGTTTCCAGCCAGTTTCTCCTCAAAAATTCACCAAGGGTAACTGCCTCATCTTTTTCCTGATCCAGTGTACCCATTGGAGGGGAGCAGCTCAGAACTCGGCCATGCTCTGGGCCGTGCAATGCCCCCTTCTCACAGCCCCCCCCCAGCTCCCCAGCGCCTTCGGGCACCTCTCACCAGGCTACAGAAGAGCTCCCGGAGCTGCGTGGCGTCCTGCAGCAGGCGGTCACAGAACTGCCTCCGCTCCTCCTTGCTCTTGCACACCATCTTCTTCTGCATGAGCGCCCGCAGGTACTGGTTTGCAACCAGGAGCTCGCACTCCATCAGCAGGAGCTGGGCAGCGGGGCAGAAAAACGCTGTTAGCTCTGGGGGTAAGGCATGAACTGCCCAGGAAAGGTAGAGGGGGAAGGGGCCAGGCACAACGCCAAGCACTGAGGGCAGAAGGACGGCTGAATTTGGGGGAAACCCCGAACATCTCTGCATGATGGAGCCTCCGGGGCTGCTCTGGAGGACGTGGGCTCTCCAGCAAAGCTTCAGTGCCCGTGGCTCTGCATCTCCGCTCCCCTCCCAGCACCCTGCTGCCTCTGGGCTGTGTCCTGGGCCCCAAGGATGGGCACGGACACCTTCCACTAGACCCGTTTGCTCAAAACCCTACATCTTTGCCCTAGAGACAAGCAGCTGGTCAGAGGACGCACGAGAGAAGCCCTGCAGCGACGGTACCTTGAAGAGAGGTTTCTTGACACGGGAGAAGTCCTTCGCGTACTTGTCTATCACTTCGCACATGGTGTTGACCAGCTGGGCCCCAGAGAGCCACTTCCGTGAAGCCAGCTCCACGCACAGGGGCTGAAAGAAGCAGAGGAAAACATGAAATGCTTGTACCTTGCTGCTCTGGGAGCAGTTCCAGCTGCAGGGGGGCACAACATCCCGCAGCACCTGCCCTCCTGCTGCCTGGAAGCACGTCTGCTCTGCCTTGCCCCCAAGCCTATTTGTACAGGCTTTTGGCCTGTCCTTCTGCAACTTAATTTTTAATTTCTACTCCTTTCCACTTTCCCTGCTTAGACATAACATGTTTTTTTTTTTTTGCCCAGGCCTTTGACCTCCTCCTCCCCTGCTGTCCTTGTCAGCAGCATCCTCTTCCTGCCTGGAGGCACACATCTCTGTATCTGCTGGGGCCAATCTCCACACTGCCTGTGAGGGCTTCATCCTTTAGTGGCTCTTTTGTTTCCATGGCATTCACCTTCCAGCCCTAAATACCGACGCCATTATTTTTTCCAGATTTCGTCCAGACTCCAGGAAAGCTAAATTTGACTATACTGCCAGGAAATGACTCGGGCAGTCGCAGATTGGCTTATCTCCTCTGCACGGACACTGCCTCTCTCCTGCTTGGTTTTGTGCCACGAAACAGCCACAAAAAGGAGTGCAAGGAAGCCCAGGTGGGCTGTGGCTCCCAGCCTGTGTCAGTTAGTGGTTTTGGGGCCGTCTGCCTCAGGTGATATAGGGTAGTGCTGGCAGGCAAGAGCCGTCGTGTGAGCTGCTGGTGGTTTATCAAGGCCTGGGCAAACGTACCTGCAGGTCGAGGAGCAGCTCCTCCAGCAGCAGCTGGCAGGCTTTTTTCTGCGTCCTGTCTAGAGCAGCCCGGAGGGACGCGGGGACTTCTCTGCAGGAGGAGTTGGGGTGCAGAGTGGGGACAGAGGAGCTAGAAGAGAGAGAGAAGGGAGGGGACGGGTAGCCTGGGATGTACAGCGGGGATGGAGAACTTGTGGTTCCCTGCAGGTGGAGCGGTTGCTCCGAGAGGTGCTGAGGCTGGTGCCCGTTACCTGAGGGCCAGGACGTTGTTGAGCATGGCCAGGAGGTAGTGGACGTAGTGCTTGGGTATGGTGCGATCCTGCTGGTGCTCCTTCCCCCGTTGCACGAGGGCTTCCCGCAGACTGCAACACAACCAGAGAGCCACGGTGGGCAGGGGCCTTGCCACAAACGCCTGGAGCAGGGGTGCTCCTGCGGCTCCTGGGGGTGCATGCGCTGCCCACAACCCTCCTTGGCTCCTTCCAGTCCTGCCACTGGGAGGTAGGGTAGTGGGTAGGGTCGTGGGACCCATCTTGGACCCCGTGGAAGAACGAGGCCTGGATCGGCACTGGGGGGGGCCACGTGGCAGATCTGCCACCAGCCCGTGCTGCTGGGCTGTGGGGACGCAGGGTCTGCGAGGAGGGGAAGGGGGGTGAGGGGCTCCACTGACCGGCCCAGAAATGCCTCGAGCTCCTCCAAGGCCATGTTGTAGACCTTCTGCTGCAGAGAGTCGGTGATCGAGGAAGTTACCTCGATGTTACTGTTCAGCATCTGCGCGGGGAGAGGACGGTGGAGGTGAGTCAGGGGCTGCAGGCCACAGCCCCCTTTTGGAGGGCTCGCAGCATGCCCCAGCTGCTGCACGTCTGCCCCTCAGGGGCAGCCCAGGAGAGGGAATGGGAGAGCCTGAACACATCTCAGAGCTACAACGAGCACACCGTGGCCCTAGACAAGCCAGCAAGGGCACGAGGTACGAGCCAACCCGCGGTGCTGGGGCCCCACCTCAATGACATGGACGGGCAGGTCTGACTGGAAGAAGCCCTGATGGTCCGTCTCGGGTTCCTTTTCCCAAAACCACTCCTCGAACTCCGTCTTCAGGGTCCTCTGCATCCACTCGAGCACGCTAGCCTGTGGGAAGGACGCCCACCACCATGGTGTCAGCTCCCTCCGGACCCCATGCACAGCCCAGGAGCAGGTCCTGAGCCTCATCCCCCAGGCTCAGGGCCCCACGCTGCTGACCTCTTCACTCACCTTGAGTTTCACCACGTATCTCCTCTCTGTCTGATCCACGAGCTCGGGGGAAATCAAAGGGCCCAGAGAGGAAACATCCACTTCTGGGAGCAGGTCCGGGTGCCCCATCATCTCGGAGCTGGAGGGCAGAGGTGGGACGGGGCTGGCAAGACCTGCCTTTTCCAGCAGCTCCCACCCCTGCCCTCCCCAGGGCCAGGGGCTGCGTGCTGGTGCCAGCCCAGCTCCCTGCACCTCCCCGGCTTCTTGGCGTGGCCGCTGACCTGTGGTACACGTGGAGCACCCACTTCAGGAGGTGGAAGAGCGCCTGCTTGTCCAGGTCTTCTCGGAGGAGGTCCTGGAGGTGGCCGGCGAGGGCCTGGTGGTACGTGGCGGCGCAGAGGCTGAGGATGTTGTAGTGTGCCGGGACGCACTGGACCATCAGGTCCTTCACCACGCGCAGCTCGGACACGATGTCCCTCTGCAGGGCCTCCAGGTGCCTGGACAGCCCCGGGCCCTCCGCGTCCACACGGGGGGTGTGGAAGCGGGATCCTGTGATGGTCTCCTGGAGGACGTGGTAAAACTTCTGCCTCCAGCCCTTCGGGCGGCCAGGGGGCAGGAAGGTGGCATCCAGGAGCAGCGTGTCGTCGATTTTCTCCTCCCTCTCGATGATCCGTACGGCGGTGACGAAGAGCACGGGGTCCTCCCGCACCAGCTGCAGGCTGCTGGCCACGATGCCCCACAGCTGCTTGGCCAGGCTCTCGTTGAGCTCCTGCAGGCCGCCGAAGTAGGCCAGCACGGTTGCCTGGGCGCTGGAGAGCCCCCGGAGGTGCAGCTGGGAGAGGATGTCATCCCGGAGGTGCTCCAGCATCATGATCTCCGCGTGGGCCTCCAGGAGGTGCTGCCCGCGGAGCAGCTGCAGCGTGTGGGAAAAAACCTCGTGGACTGCGGGAGAGGGACAAGAGGTGCCAGGACTGAGTGCAGGGGGCAACGGGGAGCTGGTGCTGGGACCATGGGCATGGGGTAACGGGGAGATCACGAGGGGAAGGGTCTGATCCCCAAACCCACGAGCGCTGGGCCAGTGCCTTACCCGAGAAGAGCTGGGGCAGCACCTGCACCACCGAGGCCAGCTGCACGTGCTCTGCCATCAGCGCCCGCATCTGCTGGAGGTCCTGGAAGCGGTCGGCGCAGTCCAGCAGTGCCCAGCGCGCTGCCCCCAGCTCCTGGCACACGCTCTGCACCTCCTGGACCGCCGCCCGCAGCTGCTCCAGCCCCGCGCTCACCCCCTCCAGGTAGGACTGGACGGTCGACTGGGGAGCAGAAGGGGACAGAGGGCAGTGGGGATGCTCTCAGAGGTTGCTGGACTCGTGCACCGTTTGCCCCAGCCCTGCCAAGCCTCTCCTGTGTGCATTTCCCCAGCCCTGGAGGGTGAGAGCTGCCCCTGGTACCCCTCATGCCTTCCCATATCCCACACCATGACCCCATCCCACCGGCTGCTCCAGCGCCAGGGATGTCCCACGTCACCCATCCGAAGACACCGAGTCCTATTTTACTGAGCCTGTTTGCAGGGTTTGGGGCTGTCAGCGGCTACCGAGCACGAGGTGGGAGAAGGGAACCACTGCGGGGTTACCAGGGCAGCAGGGCGAGCGGTCACCAGATGTTGCCTCTTGGGCAATTTTCCCCCTAACCAACTGCATTTCTCCCAGCGAGGGCCGACCAAAGGACGGGATTTGTCCAGAGGTAGAAAAAAAAATGATTCAGTGCAGAAGACCCTGGCTGGGATCCCCGCTCGGGGAGGTGGCGAAGCATCCGCCCGCTGGGCCGTGACCCATACCCACCTTCAGCCGCGACTGGATGGAGCTGTTCCTCTGCGTCTCTCGGCTGCGGTAGTGCCCGAGCCCCTCCAGGTTTTCGGGGCGGTAAAACACCCCCGAAGCCCATTTCAGAGCAGCTCCCCTGGCCAACTTCTCCGCCTTTTCCACCTCCGGCCACTCTTCCTCTGGGGACAAAGCCAGGGGTTAAGGAGCACGGCGAAGCCTCTCCTCGCGGGCAGGAAGGGCCCCCGGGGCCGGGAGCAGGAAACCGGGCGGCAGCGGACGTCCAAGCACACCCCGATGGGGCCAGCCGGATGGCACGGCGGCAAGCGGGACCCTCCTGGGATGGCCCCAATGATCCCACAGCAGAAGGGTGCCCCGAGGAGCTCAGGACATCACCCGGCTGGGGTGACCCCGCACGACAAGGATGGGTCACCCCAAGGCTTCCACCTCCCCGAGAAAGGACAAGGGACAAGGAAAAAGGGTCTGGGAGGTGGTGAATTAGGGGTGCGTCCCTCCCGCCCGGTCACCCCGTTACCTCTGGGGCTCGCGCCCTGCTCGTCCTCCGCCGACGTGCCCATGGCCGCTGCCAGCTCCAGGGCCGCGGGGCTGGGCTGCGCGCGGAGGAAGGCGGCGGCCGCTTCCTCAGCGCTCCCCGGGGGCTCGTCGGGATGTTCGGGGCCAGGCAGCGGGGTGGGGATGTGAGGGGGATCCGCAGCCCTCCCCGCAGCCAGGGGTTGTGGTTTGGGGGCGTCCCAGGGTGGGGATGGGGTGACCCCAATGGGGATCGGGTGACCCCGGTGGGGATGGGGTGAACCCAGAAGATATGGGGTGAACCCAGGAGGGTATGGGGTGAGCCCTATGGGTACTGGGTGTCACCGGCGGGGATGGGGTGACCCCAGCGGGGATGGGATGAACCCAGAAGATAAAGATATGGGGTGACCCCAGTAGGTACGGGGTTACCCCAGAAGATAAGGGGTGACCCCAGTAGGTATGGAGTGGCCCCAGGAGATATGGGGTGACCCCAATAGGTAGGGGGTGACCCCAGCAGCTATAGGGTGACCCCAGTAGATATGGGGTGACCCCAATAGCTATGGGGTGACCCCAATGGCTATGGGGTGACCCCAGGAGATAGTGGCTGCCCCCAGCAGCTATGGGGTGACCCCAGCGGCTCGGGCGTGCCCCCGGTCTCTACGCGGTGCCCGCAGCGGGTCCGTGCTGCCCCCGTCCAGCCGCGATCCCCGCTCCCCGGGCGGGACGCGGGGCGCTCCCGGTGCCGCCCTCCCCGGGGCGCGGCCGGGGCCGGTGGCCACGCCCCCTGCCGAGGCCACGCCCCCTGCCGAGGCCACGCCCCCTGCCGAGGCCACGCCCACCGCGGAGGCCACGCCCCCTCCGCCGCTCCCCGCCCTTCCCGCGGGATCCAGGCCACGCCCACCGCAGAGGCCACGCCCCCTCCATCTGGCCACGCCCCATCGGCTCTGGCCACGCCCCCACCTCCCCGCGCGCCCCCCCCCCCGCCCCCGGCGCGGAAGCTCCCGTCGTGCCTCGCGGCCCGGAAGCGGAAGCGCGGCGGGGCCGGAGCCGGGCGGCGGGCAGATGGCGGAGTGCGGGCCGCAGCCGCCCGGGGGTGGCGGCGGCGGCGGAGGAGGAGGCGGAGGAGGGGGCGGGAGCGGCCCGGGGGCGCCCAGCCGGCACGAGAAGAGCCTGGGGCTGCTGACCACCAAGTTCGTGTCGCTGCTGCAGGAGGCCAAGGACGGCGTGCTGGACCTCAAGCTGGTGCGGCCTGAGGGGGGGGGGGCGGTGCTGTGAGGGAGCCTCAGAGGGGAACCGCTCCTGGGCTGGGTGTCCCCGGGGTGGGGCTGCTAGTGGTGGCCCCGCTGCCAGCGGGGCTCCTGGGGGTGCGGAGGCACCGCCCGGCACCGGCACCGAGCCCTGGGGCTGCCCCGGGTGCTGAGGAGCTCGTCCCTTGTGTCCCCGCTTGCTGCCAGCCCCGTGAAGCATTCTCCAAGCAGAGCCTCTCGGCAAGGTGTTGGTTCTCTGACGGCATCAGGTTTGGGTGGGAAAGAGCTTCTGAATGTCAGCTTTGCTGTCACACAGCTCTCTGCGTTCCTCTTCCCGTTCCCATCTCTTTTTATCTTTAAAGAGCGCTGCATCTTTTGCCTGCCAGTCCAGTGGCTTCCAGCCCTGCTTTGCTGCTGAGTTTTGCAGTGGTTTCTGCAGCCACCCTGAGCGGGACGGCTGGGATCCCATTTGTGATTAGTGGGGAAGTTGCTGATAAGAACAGGAGCAAAGGGGCAGTGGCTTCTCGTGGGCATAACGGCATTGAGAACAAGGCTTTGTAGCTCGAGGTGCTGGGATAAAAGAGGTGTGAGATGGTGAGCAGAGAGCTTGGTCAGGAAGCAATCGGACGGGGGGAGAAGGAGAGAAATGGGACCGAGAGGTTGGGGTTAAGTGTCCAACTTATTTTGCAGGCTGCAGATACCTTGGCTGTGCGACAGAAACGACGGATCTACGATATCACCAATGTCCTGGAAGGCATTGGGTTGATTGAGAAGAAGTCAAAGAACAGCATCCAGTGGAAGTGAGTGACCGAGAAGGTCTAAATCGCTCACGGGTCCCTCCTAGGTCAAGGTCCAGTTTTCTGGGTACATTTTTCCCATTCGGACGAGGCTGTTGTCCCAAAACGGCCTGCTGGGAGCAAGGGGCCTGGACTTCCCCAGCTGAACTGTGCTGATGGTGGCAGTGAGGAAAGCTGAAGTGTGTCTGGCATGTTGCCTGTACACCGGAGCTGTTATTTTGGTTCAGACTGGGTATTTTCTGTGTCTTGGGCTAGAAAAGATGCCTGTTTTTTGCTGGAGGTAGGGGAGAGCCCTGGCAGGCTGCAGGGTGTCAGAGCATCAAATGGTGCTGAGCTGGAAGGTGGTAGGGGATGTGGAGTGGGTAGAGATGAGGCTTATCTGGCCGTGGCATAGGGTAGAGGTGGTGGGAAGGGAGGTGGCAGCCTCTTGGAGAGGCTGGGGCTGCTTTGGCCGCTCCATCAGCTGATCCGTGTCCCTCCTTTTCCCTCCGCACAGAGGGGTGGGTCCTGGCTGCAACACGCGTGAAATAGCTCACAAACTGATCGAGCTGAAGGCAGACATAGAGGACCTGGAGCAGCGGGAGCAGGAGCTGGAGCAGCAGAAGATGTGGGTTCAGCAGAGCATCAAAAACGTCACAGAAGACGTGCAGAACAATCGATATCCTTTGGCCAGCTGCTTATTCCTCTGGGCTGGAAGGCAGTGCTGCTGGAGGACCTGCACTGAAAGGGTCAGGAGGCAGAGCCCCCCTTTTGGGGGCGGGGGAGCTCTGCCCAGCCTGGGAGCAGCTTCCTCTGCGGGGCAGCGGATGCCTTGTGCCCCTGTCGTTGTCACCTGGCTCTTTGAAGTTCCCTGGCACTGTAATGTTTGCAGGGAGAGAACTGCTTCTGTCTGAGCCACAGGTGCTGCTGTTCTTGAGCGCAGAGCTGCTCTTGCAGCTTGTCTGAGGTTGTCAGCCCTGAGGCTCACAGACCTCGCCTTCAGAAGCGTGTGGCACGGGCAGCCCCCTGGCAATGGCATTTTCAGGAAGGAAACGCCAGGTGCCCTTTGAGTCCTGTCCTCGCAGGAAGCAGCAGCCCTTCTCCTTAACCTTCAGAACGTTAGCGTATGTGACGCATGAAGATATCTGCAAGTGCTTCACAGGTGAGGAAACTGCTGCGTGGTAAAGATGTAATGCTGCATTCCTGGCTATCCCAGCTGCTTTCCTTCCTCTGAGGAAGAGGAGGCAGCAGATCTTAAATTAGGTCTGACATGGGCTGCCTGTTAGCACCAGTGGGTGCGAGTTCTGATGCCATCCTTTGGCTTGGGAACCCGTGAGCTGCAGCGTTGTTGTCACCATCAGCTGTGAAGGGGGCAGGAGGTTTCTTTGCACTCGTGTTTAAGGCAATGTCCGAGGCCTTCCTAAGGTAGTTTTTTGGCTGGGTGTGGGTGTGTTACTTTACGAGCCTTTTATTTTCAGGGCTTGGGTAGATGGTACAAATCCTGGCTATAAGAAAAGTTTACGGTAGAAATCTGGGTGTAAGCAGGAAGAAAACATAAAAAGAGCACCTCACCTACACGGGCACCTTGCCAGAGCTGCAAGGTGCCCGTGTAAAAAGCCACAGTTCTGTCTCTGTGGGGCAAAAGTGAAGAAAACCCCACTGGATTCTGTTTCTTCTCTGCTAGCAGCTGTAATGCTATCTGTAGGACCCAGAAAATCCCCCGTGGCCGGCGTGCAGTGTGGCAGCCAGCAGAATCAAACCGTTCTCAGCTCTGGTGGCGTGGAGTCGTAGCTGCTTTCTGCTCCAGTGAGCGCTGTCCCTATGACCCTGGGGCTCTTCCAGGCTGCCTCCTTGCCCCAGGCTGCATCAGTTCTTCTGTTTCTCATCTTTGCCTTTGTCGTGCTCCTGTTCACCAGACGTTATCCCAAACTCGTGTGTTCCACCCCTCATTTTGCTGTTTCTTCTGGCTTAAGTTAGCACCCCGTGGGGGCAGGGATCGTGTTTTCAGTTTGACAGAGCTTGGGGCCAGATAATTGGTGAGAGCCTGTAGGAGTTGACTGGAGACCAGCAGACAGGCGATTGCTTGCTTGATTGAGTGTTTTGCATTTTGCTGCACCTGTTTTTCTAAACCAGTTTGCATCTGAAGTCAGACCCCACCGAAAAGTGCAGAGAAGATGAGATCTGACTCAGGGCAGATCTGAAATCCTTTGGAACAGAGGCTTGATCCGTGTTTTTCCATTGGTTTGTTTTGGTGCGTGTCCAGATGTGTTGTAAGAATTTGCTTTACATAGGGCATCTGATTCCCCCTGCCAGCAAATGTCTGGGCCTTGGAGAGGTTCTTTGTCAGACCCCTTGTGTTCCTGAATGGTGGTAAAGGCTGAATTTTCTCTCCCTTTTCTTATTTGGGGCTATTAAACTCACTTTCTTCAAGTTAGCTAGGACTTGAAGATTTCCTTGCTTGGACTCTTGCCAAATAGGATTTGTTATCTGGGTTTTAAAAAGCAAAAACAAAACCTGAGGATACATTAGCTCAGTGACTGGGAGACGTATTTTTCCCGTCTGTTGCTGCGATGTGTTGTGTGCTTGCAGAATCCAAAAGGAAATGGAAGAATGCGGTGCACCAATGGGTTTGTTTTGTGAAAATATTTTGAAATTAGCTATCAAGAGAGATAGAAACACAGTGCCTGTGTTGTAGAGGCTAACGGGTGTTAAACCTTGAGCTTGTATCTTTGTTATGCCTTTTTAATGTCTTTTAACGATACTTATTTGAAGTACAGATTTGTTGGAGGAATCCCACCTTACTGACAAATCTCCTGGTGTTTTTAATCCCTCTCCTTTTGCTGATCTGACCTTTAATTGCCAGCCTGAAACTAAAGGCTGTGCTCTTCTGCTGTCTGCTCTCTCATCACTCTGGGTGATTAATATTCTGTATTAATTATCAAGTGAAGCTTAGTGCAGAATACCAGTGAAGTGTGAACACAAACCACACAAAAGCTTGAACACTTGAAGCGAAAGCTGCTAACTGCTCAGTCTGAATGTCTCATGTTCCCAGCACGGGCTGTTCTCTCTCCACGTTTCTCTTGCTCAATGTAAGCCCGGAATGGAAGCTGCTGGGCTGGGATTGTTGTGTTATTAGGGGTGCTGAGCTCAGGGAGCTGCAGAACTCGGTGATATGATACCGATCATATGACAGCGAGTGATCCCGTGGGTCAGCCTGGCCCTTGGCATCGCTGTGCAGGGTCCAGTACAGGCAACTTTGGCTGGTAGAGGCCAAGGAGTGTTGTTTTGGGGTGTTGGTACTCAAGCAAAATGTGCTGCTGTTAGCAGCCTGGCCCCTGGGCCTAGCTCCACGCTGTCTGCTGGCAGTGCAGCTCTTCGAGTTGCTTGCTGTTTTGTTCAGAATTCAAATCAGAAAGCTTCTGACAACAGGATGAAGGGCCTTTCACTTAGGATTCAGACGTTCTTCAGAGGAATTTTAAGCCAGCCCCAGTGTTTCCTCAGAGAGAAAGAAAATTTAGCCCCGATAAGGATACTGCTGAAACACTTGAATGTCTCTTTAGGGTTGCTTTGAGAGAAGCTTCACAGGTCCTTTGTGCCCTTGGCAGTTGGCACATTTGTCGCCTTACGATGTGGGTATAAATGGCAATTTTGGCAGCTTTGGGAAGTGCAGGAGATAAGGGGCTTTGAGGAGGGGCTCTTTGTCAGTGCCTGCTCCATCAGAACAGTTTGTGTCACCAA